CTTATTCAATACCCTTATTTGGTGAGTACAGTCACAGAGACAACATCCTAGTTAATAAATATGATTAAACCTCAGGCTCTAAGACACCTTCGTTAGATATGGCTGCTTGATATGATATGCACAAAAAAGCACGTGACTCCTTAACTCTTTTAAAATGTCAGATATTCATTTTACGTATTCACCTCTCTCTATGAGCGGGTTGCGCCCATAGATGGATGGAAATGTCTTTCGATAACACTAATTCAAAGAGGAAGTGGAAAAAATGATGTGTGCCTAAAATAAAGGGGAAGTAAAAGGACTTCTGCCCATGCAAAACAAGCTGACATTTCAATGTGGTGTATAGCTTTTTATCATATGAAATGCATTCACTCATGCAAGCCCACATGAACAGGGGGAAATACAGTACGTTACAGATGTAATCAAGCAAGATCAATTATTTGCAAAAAACCTACATATGAATTAAAGTGTCAGTAAGGTCAAAGATAGCAGAGCTGGCTGGCTGTGGGCCTCTTGCTGTCGCTCTCCCTCTTCAATCACACATGCTGGTGTCAGGTCTCATGTTGCTAGCATCTGCTGGATCATAAGTTACTGCCCAGTGCCTGTAAAGATGGAACTCCAGTATGTCTGACATAAAAAGTATTCAGTCTTTATTTCTTATTAGGGTTGCTGTCCAGATGCATCTACATCGCCTCATAAACATGATATAATGTCCCATTCGCTGGGTGCGCAGAGCAGGGGAGAGCCCAAATGCATGACACAGAGAGCAGAGGTCTAGTTCCAGAGTATTTAATACGGGGCTATACAGACAGACAGACAGACATAAACAAAAACTCATGGGTACAGGTAACTGGTACATCCAAAAACAGAACAGGTAAGTAGCAACTTGCAGAACATACAATAACCAACTGCACATACATGCAACAATGACCGGACAGGGAAAGAACAGAAACACCAAACATTTATACACAGGGACTAACGAGCAGGGCGGGAGCAACACAGGTGACTGGGATCAGGGTTAACGAGGCAGAGAGACAGAAGGGAAAAACAGAGAGACTGGATGGCAGGCAGATTACTGGAGGTGAGCAGACATAACACAAGTACTGAACACTAAACATATCAAAGTAAGATGTAACAGATCAGAATAATAAAATAACAAACTAATCCAGACACAAGCAGACAGAATACGAATACACTAATAACAAGGAACACAGACTGAAGCAAAGATAAAACAAAACTCAGAGCAGACATGGGCAAAACAACACAGAAGTACACAGACCAGGAGTAAACTTAAGACATGAACTAAGGTACAGGACTAAGAACTAAGACACCAAACTTGGAACTAGGATACGAGACAAGGCAGATACGAAGTAACTTAAAGATGTGGATGAATGAAATAATGAAGGCTACACAGAGACTAAAGCAAAATTATCAAAATCAGATTAATTAATGAAACTGGCGGAGAGCATAAATTGACATCTAACAAACAGATAGAACCTAAGCATGATGGTAGAGATCTAACACAAGAGGGACAGGAACAGAACTAAACAAGTACTAAAGGCAGACATTGAGATAACAGGACAGATCAGAACCACCACACAGAACAAGCAGAAGACTGGATACAAGACCACAGACAGGACTGAAACCCAGACACAGAGAACCCAAAATCAAAACACAGAGAAGGCATGGCCAAAATAATATAACCCAGACATGCTGAGGACAGGATCGTGACATATAATGCCGCTGTAGTACAGAATGCACTGCTTGTTTATATAAACAGGTTTCAAATTCATTTCACTTCTTCAATTTTAAAAACTCACCGCGTTAGCACACGCGACAGAACACAATGTGCACCGAGCTGGAACAGTTTCAGTTTTAACCCATAAAAAGACAGACAGTATTTGTTGTGCAATCAGTCTCAGAGGAGCCCAAAACTGGTAAAAAGGGAAAGCTGATGAGTGTTTTCACTCATCATGAGACCACCTGCAGTTCTGTAAACATGTGCTGCTATTTGACTTATTACATGCCAGGCATGAGTGC